ATAATAATTTACAGAAAAATTTAATTTTTGTTTTCCAAAAATTTAATTTATTCATAATGAATAAGATTTTTTTTTATGTTTTGAATTTTAAGAACGTTAAGTATTTTGCAGCTTTTTTCTTTGAAAATGTACAATTTTACCAAACAAAAATGATTTTTATAAGATTGAACTAACCAAATTAAGTAATAATTGTATTATGGTCATTATGAATTTTGGCATATAAGTCAATGAGTAATTGAAATTAAAGTAGTATTTTACTTATATGTCGCATCAATAAACTGACGCAATATTATGAAATGTTGTAAACCTGTGGAGTACGAGTTGTGGATTCTCGTTTTTGGTTTGTATTCTCTAATTTTCACTACGCGGGATACAGACAACGAAAGTTGCTGAACGTAATTCCTGTTGTTGCTAAAAGAGAGTGAGATTGCTTTTAAGGCTAGGGTTATGAAGGTTATGGGAAAGCTGGTTAAATTGACACAATCCGGACATTTATATCGGAATATTTCGTGTTAAAGCTAGCTTGAAGATATTATTTCCTGTCTCGTTTTTCCCGCATTATCTGGTTTGGGAAATGAAGTTTTCAAATTTATTAACAAACAGTAAATTATAATAAATAAAACAGCATATACTATATGTGTTTTTAATCTTTGTCCATCCTACAAGAACTGTTTGTTTATTATTTCTGTTTCGCTTTTATATTGCATTTCGATTTTGTAATGTTTATGATAGGCATTTTGGCCAAGGTCGTAAATCTTTTAAAAACGGCAAATTGCCCATTTTGCGTTAGCATAAAAATGCTCCGCCAACCGGAGGAGAGGGGGCCCAATGGCCGATCAATAAAACATTTATTTATATTTGCGCCTTGAGTGGTCATAAAAATGATGCGAATTCGTACGACGAGTCCCCCGAGCTGGCTAATTAATATCCGCACAGGCATCTACAAATATTCAAGAAGACGAACGATGGCCAAACTTCAAAGGTTAGCAATGGGATTTATGGGATGTAGCTCGGTAAATAAATGTAAAAATGTGGCAAGCCACCAACCACTGCCAACAAGCGCACAAAACACAAAAATACGAAGAGGAGAAGCAAGCAAAGAAACTTCCACGGAAGTGTCACCCGGAAAGTCGATTGGTTGCAAGTTCTGGCTGCGACTCCAAACTGCGAGTCAGTCTGTTGCTGAGCTTGTATTTATGTAGCGATAAAATTAAATTTATTTTAACGCCAGCCAAATGTGAGCCCCACAGACCCACAGGAGTCCCACATCACCCGGACAGTGCCATGGGCAGGCCATGCCTTGTGGGCGTATCATGTGCTCACATAGTCAAACATTATCGCGAACTTAGTTGCTCGTCGAAAACTTAGATGCCAATGCCTGGCCACGTTTGCCTATCCTCGCTCTGCAGCAGTTGTGGACGGAAATCGCCTAAATTTGCTGCAAAAGATGAGAGAGATTCCACAAGGTAGGCAGGCAGGCTGGCAGGAAAAGCACCTGCGATAAAAGTTTCTGCCCCATTTTCCACTTGCCTCGCTGTGTCAGGCATTATTGCCACGAGTCGGGGCCATTGAACGAACGCATGAGTCCGACAGGCCGCCGACTGCTAGCCGTGAGACTGTGAGGCTGGCTAACGCAGCCCGTAAACAACCTGGCAACTGCAGTGCAATGCAACACCAGGTGAATGTGGCATTAAGGCGGCGTGACTAGTTTAATCAACTCTCTCCAGATTATTTATTATTATTTTTATACCCTGAACCCATTTTCAATGGGAAATCAGGGTATAATGGTTTTGTTGAAATGTATGTAACAGGGAGAAGGAGGCGTGGCAGACCCCACAAAGTATATATATTCTTGATCAGGGTGACGAGCTGAGTTGATTTGGCCCTGTCCGTCTGTCTGTCCGTCTGTCCGTCTGTCCGTCTGTCCGT